TATTATTATTAAAACTGTCTTAACAAGAACTTTCTAATGAATATAAGCTCATCCTTATAGACTAATCAAAAAAAATAATATAAATATTATATATTTTTAAGTTAGTTTGTATATTATAATCTTGATTATTAAATATATTCTTGAATATACAGTTGATTTTTTATTTGTTTTATAAAAGATTTTCATAATTTCTAAAAATGTTATTATATAATAATGTAAAAAAATCTAATAATAAAAAAATGAATTAGATTTATTTTTTAAATATATCTTAAAATGATAAATATAAAAAATATGTATAATATAATAAATGATATAATTGAAAAATAAAAATAAATTATTTTATCTTTAATTAGATAATGTTTATTTATAATTATAGATTTATAAATTAAGAGATGTAAAGTTATAGTGCTATAAAGTTTAATTATTATTTTTTAAAAAAAATATATAATATAATATATTAAGTAAAAGTTTTGTTATAGGTTTTGTTATTAAAATTACAATATAAATATATGATTTGTTTATATATAAAGTCTATAATTTCTAAGTGTATAAAATATGTATTAAAAAAAATCAAAAATTTATTTAGGGCAGTGACATATATTACCTAATATCACTTTATTATAAGCCTTAACCCTCTTATCCCCCAGGTAAGATATTTTGATCACGTGAATATTGATCAATTTCCTTTTATAGAACTCATATATTGGTATATTTTATCAGTTGTAAAATATCATATCAAATATATTATAATAAAAAATGATAAATTTTAAAAATGATAAAAAAATAGTAAAATTTATTATAATAGTCTATTTTATATTAAAAAAAATATATTTAAAAGATTCAAAATCAAAGAAAATATAATGCTGATCTTCTCTTTATAGGATCATATCTTGCTGCGTATTATTGCGAAGGGAATTATTTCACATTCTTTCGTTACAAAAAAGAAACTCAAATTGCTGCAGAGAAAAATTATTTTACTACAAAAAAAGAAATTCGAATTGCTGCAAAGTTTTATGACGCGCTCAACTTTCATATTTTGATTATAAAAACTTTTTTATAAATAAATGCGTAATAATTCTATTTCTAATGCAAAAATAAACTAAACTTTCTTCGTTAACCCCAAATTTAATAAGAAACTAATATATAATTTACCAACAAATAAGTATCAAGAATTTTCTAATGCTTATGTATATAGTATTATGATTAAAACTGAAAATAGTACCTCTAATCACGCTGATGTTTGTGATGAAGCAACAAAAGAATGGAATAAAATTAAAATAAAAGTAAAGCAGAAATTGAAGATATTATTAGAAATTATCTGGCTACACCATATAATTTATCTAATATACAAATAATGAAACCAAGACCTTCTGTATCTAGAGAAGCTTTGACTCCTCCTCTTCTTACTCTTCTTACGATTTGTTTAATCAATTCTATATCAGAAATTTCTATCAATGCATCAACACAAAGAAGGATAGCAAGCGAAATAATAACAGCTGAAAAAAATCTTGCTGAATTTGAGCAGATATACAACATTATGACAGATTCTCAATTTTGGCATGATATGTATATAAAAATAGAGAGTCTTTGAGCTGAAATTAAATCTAATAAAAAAAGAATCATTAAGTTAAAAAAAATGTTAAATATACTCAAAAGTATAAAGAAAAGAAAGAAAAACACTTATTGAGAACAAAGAGATAGTAATATATAATAAGTCTGGCTGTTTCCCACTTCTTTTTGAATATCCAGATTTACACAATCATATTCATGATTTAATCAAATTTGGAACAGCTGATTAAAGATGACAAAAAGAAGTGGTTAAAATGTGAATCATTGAAAATTTGCACAAAAATCTTGAAGAGAATTATAATGTTTATATAGCGAGAACAACATTGAAAAATTACTTGCTGCCTCGCTAATCTAACTCCATTCTGCAAAAGCATATCATTATCTAGTATAGGTCACAGTAACTGGAGTTTCACATACTGAAATACGGGACCATCCTGATAGTCATTATTGTCTTGCATCTGTTAAATGCGCAAGACAATTTACTACTGTCTTTGCTGAAAATTCTGTCATTATTTCTCAAGACAATAAAGCGAAGATAGGACTTAGGGTACCTGCTATAGGTTAGACATTTTACACGTTACAGTCAGTTTATGAGCCTATTAGTGTAGCCAATCATGATTTCCCTCTAGAAAATGGGCAAAAATTAATTCTATCAGTTTATCTTATGATAAAATCAAATGAATCAAATAATGATTTACGAACGGGACAACTTATCATTTTTGTACGTTATCAATAGTCCCTTGATACATCTTTACTTACATACATGCAAGACCTTGAAAGCCTTACTCTAGATCCTAAATATAACGATGTGTTGAAAAAAACAGAGAAATTCAATCTATTTGGGTGTTATTAGTAGATAGAGGATCAGACGAGAACCTAAGACATTTAAAAAACATTAAATCTTATTGTCAACTCTTTTGAAAATTCGATTTAGATTACCTGATTGTATAAACACATGCCATAGGACAGTCCAAATATAATCCTGTTGAAAGGGAAATAGCAATACTGTCTAAAAAATTGGCAGGTATCACACTACCAATTGATCATTTTGGATCTCACTTAAATTCACAAGACAAAGTGATTGATCTAGAGTTAGTCCTTCAAAACTTTTGATATGCTGGAGAATCACTTTGCAAAATTTGGCGTCGAGATTTGATTTTTGGAAGAAGTGTAGATGTATAGTATATCGAAGAGCTTACTAATCCATTTGAAAACCTAGAGTTTGAAGGCACAGACAAAGAAAAAGTAAAACATAAAAACAAAAAAAGAAACAAGAAAAAGGAAATAACTCACTGGAATATTTAGTGCCATAGTCATGGATCGAAAATTACTGCAACTTATGTCAATATTCTCTTAACATTAAACATTGTACTAATGCAAGCTGTTGTGAGCCATCTTATGCAAAAGAAGCCACAGATTTCCTTCTTTTGAATAATAGTTTTTTGCTTCCAGTTACAAAATCTAAAGACAGACATTACACTAATCCTATACATCCTTGAATATTACGATCTCTTGAAAATTCCTAGGTATAATTCGCATTGCCTATCCCTTGATCAAATAACCTATTCGCGTCTTTATTGTTCTATGTGCAATAAGTACTTTTCAACTCTTACTTATTTGACAAATCATAAAAGAACTATACATCCTGCCAGTTGTAGACGATCTAAAGAAAAATCCAAAGAACATAATTCAAGAATCCTTAATGATTTCTCTCTTCTTCCATCACAACAAAAGCGTCCTTTTCTTGATGAAATGAGTTTAAGAGAATACATGTCAGATAAAGAATGATCTATTTTTTTTTATATTATATAATAACTGTAATACAATAAAAATATAATATAATAGTTATAGTTATATATATTATCTAAGCCACCGATATCACGTGATTAATATTAGTATATATAACTTAAGATCTCCTGCTACCTCCACCCCCTAAAATATTAGGTAATATATATCATTACCTTTAGTATATACTTTATATAAATGTTTTACTTTTGATAACTTATTTTTGTTAATTTTATTAAATGATTATAAAAGGTTAATTTGTACCTTTGGTAATAGAAAAGGTAAAAAAGTGAAAATTGTTAAAGGTATTAAAAGTATTATAATATGGTTATAACTTATTTTATATTTTTTTCTGTAAGTTTTCTTTTTCTATTGCAAAGATTCTTAACTTTTTTTTATTTCTTTTTTTTAAAAAAAAGTTTTCCAATTGATGTAACTAAAATATCTCAATTATGTTAAAAGATACATATTTATCTACAGTATAAAGTTTTAAAGAAGATAATAATAATTTTTATGAAATTAATTGATATAACTTAACTATAGTTAGTTTCGGTTTTAAGTTACCTCAAGTCTACATTAATAGATCAGTAGATCAATAAGTTAATTAAAAAGAAATAAATAAAATAAAAGTTTTCTATTTGAATAAGTACCATAAATGTAAAATATTTATTAAAAAAAAAACATACAAAGTATTTAATGTAAATAATATACAATATATTACAAAGTGTTCTTACAAAAGGCGAATAGTAAAAGAAAAAAAAACTTTTAAAGAGGAGGACCAATGCTAAATGAAACGAAAAAAGTGATGAATAATAAAACTGAGATACAATGCCATATTGAATCAGGAGAAGTTTTAACAAGTAAAGCGTATAAATTATCAAATATGAACAGAACAACTATGTGAAGAAGTGAATCGATCACACTTATTCCACCTAATAATTGACCTATTTGAGACGGAGATATTAAATTCGTCTGTAATAATTTTATCGCCAGGGTTGTTATTATACCTATGGAGGCTATAACGGTGATTATTAAATTTGAAAGAGAGAGAAATGATGATTTAAAAAGACGAAGATGAATCACGAAAAGCAAAGAAAGTACTTATCTCCGTTAAATATTGAACCAGATTTTACTAGGCTATATGCGACATGAGCCAATCCATCAATTAAGAATACTATTTTGATAACCCAAACTTTAAAGATCAATTCCTTTCTGAGTAGAGTCTTCTCATCTTTAATAGTAATTTGCTCTTCTGTATTTTTTTTCATATTTTTCGAAAAGATGGATTTGATTTTAAATAATAATAAAAGTGTTTGTTTCTTGAACCTTACTAATAGAGGATATAAGACATATAAAATAAATACTTTTGTTCCACTCATCAAGAAAATGAAATAACCTTGTTCTATCAAGGTCTATTTAAATACTAATGATGTATATAATACAGTCACTCCAGACATTGCCATTATAGAAGCTGATAATAAAGAGTATACAATTGCTAATAATGAGAATGAATATTTTGTAGCAGAAAAAGGAACTGTATCACTATCAATTTTTTGTTGTCATCTACCATTCGGAAGGAACAATAATAGTAGCCTAAATATGCTATAAACTAATCTAAGGAAGGAATCAACCCGTTTTATTCCCGTTCAGTTAATTGAAAATAATTCTTGTTGACATTTTACGTTCATCAACAATTTTTCTTTTGATAGAGATTCAGGTAATATAAAAAAGTAAAATAAGACCAACAAAATATACATTACAAGCGTTACATAATATATTGAAAGTAAATTATCCGTTCCTTTGATCAAATATCTGCCTATTGTGGGCCCTACTGAATATCCTGCGAACATAGCATCTTGTATCCATCTAAACATCACACTCCCATTAAATATCCAAAGTGGTTGAAAAACAGTGGTTAAGTAAATTATAAGAGAAAAAAGGGGTAAGTATACTACTGTAAATTACTTTCGTATTAGATGAGTACAATCTGTAATGTATGCGTAGCTTGCTTCAGATAATGCATAGAAACCTCCAGTTACTCTATCTATAAATGATCCTATTAAATAAGTATATAATCCAACCTTATCATAAAAGTTACTGACTAATAATAAATTTAACGTGGTGAGAAAGATTTCTATAGCTGATATCAATAAAGTTGATTTACATCCCTTCCTATCCGATAATGTTCCGAGTGGTCCAAGAACAAATATAGCTATATAAATCGAGAGGAAAGTATAAGTGAAGGTAATTTAGAGGCTTAGGAAAATATTTTACACATTCTAGATTGAATTCGCTCTTTTAATAAGATCATTACTTGGGATAGCAGTAAACAAACTCGACTTCGCAAGATATTGGGCAACTTTGGCTTGCATATCAGCATTTATACACGCATCATCGAGATTTGATTTAAATGATAGAGGAACTTTTTCTGGATAGAGATCATGACACACTGCCAATACATAAAGCTGGATTCCAGCGGCAGCGCTTAGCCCACTTGTCATCAAAATAGCTATGAACATTGGTAGCAACCAGTATGCGGAAGGTGTTTTATACCATAGTTTTTTATTAGATAATTCTGATGGATTAGGGAGCACATGTTCCACATCGATTTCATCAGAACTAGATTTTGCGACCATTTTTTTTTTTTTTTTTATGAAAGATAAAAAGGTAAAAAAAACTCTCAGTTAGAATAAAAAAAAATGGAACTATTTATGTCTAAGGAAAACCTTACCTTGAAAGAAGAACATATCTTGGGGAATTACTATTTTCCATTTGACATTTAACGATAAATCTATTCTATAAAGGTTAGCTTTATCTATAATAGTTATTGTTAACTAAAGAAGAATTTGAAAATTGTTAAACGTTTGGAGCAAAAATTTTGTATGAAAATTTAGCTTATCCAATCGGAAAAACATTTATCCATGCAATAAAATCAGGATAGAAAAACAAGGTTATTGTTCTAACTATCAATAACCCAACCGAAAATTCCGGACAAAGCTTGCCAAATACTGTAACATTGTCGACTTGAGATTGATATGTTTTATACGCCTCGAAACTTTACTACTAACCTAAGGAAGAAAAATTGCTAGTTCTTTCTTAAAATTCTCACTCGATGTAATGAATACACTTATTTTTGTCCCTTATTCTTTACTAAAATATTCAAGAGATGATTGCTTACAATACATGATAGTCGTTTTTACTAAGTTGTCAATAACGGTCAAGGGATCAAAAAGATGATCTCAAATCAATAATAATCTTCGAGTTATCTGATAACCTATATGGACATATTGAAATAGTTGCTAATTCCATATAAACCGAGAATTTTAAGGAAGAACGCGTGCTTATGAAGGAGGCAAATCTTGCAGATAAGAGCAGAAACGCCAGAGATTTATGAGGAAGATTTACATTATAACAACGGGAAAGTCGGTGAAACTCAATAGATCAATTATACCTTAAAAAGAAAGAGATCAAGCTGGAATGGATTTCTTCGTTATCTGGTCATGTTATTTATAATCGAGTTAATCATTGCCGACTCGGACTATTGTTTTCACTCATTCTATTGGAAAATGGTTATTCTCTAAAATTTAGAGTAGACGATAGATATTGTTCACGAAGATCAAATAATAAATTGAGTTTCCTTTACCAAATGCGCGTTATCCAAGTAGATTAACAACTTTCACTTCCTTATTTAATAAAACATCATTTTCATTTTTTTTGAGTTGATGTATATTTTGCAATAGTAATTAAATTGCCTGACGGATGAATTTTTGGATCCCCAACGCGTATCTCCAATAAGATACAATTTGTAAAAATTAAAAACGGAATAAGTTAGAAATATCGAAATTGTCATTTAACTCACTCAAGATTCTCTGCGATGGTATCTCTTTATGCTAATAATTACGCGATATGTTATTAAAGTTTAAAAATCATATTTCAGACTGTTTATCTCGTTTATTATAATGTTAACATCAAAAGTTTACCCGAGATTTTATTGGCTATCGAAATATTTATTATTCATATTACCTTTTTTGCATGTAATATGCCTACTTTTAGTAATAATTTTCTGAAATTATTGTAAGCACAAATAAACATCATAATGCCAAAATATTTTTAAAACATTTCCTCATCATTTTCCTTTACTCCTCAACTCATGTCATATCAATAATAATTGAAAAAAAAAATAAAATATTTTTATTTAGAATAAAATATACAAAATAGAAAGATATATGAGGCCTTTGCAATAGAAAGGGAGGAAACTCAAAAAAAAATAAAAAATGAGTAATAATAAATCTGAACAAATTATAGTATTTAGAATATTTTTGGCTTATAAACTAAAATTTTAATTTTTTTAGAGTTTCCTCCCTTTCTATTGCAAAGACCCCATATATCGGTCCACATATGTGAAAAAAAAGTTCATACATATATTAAAAGATTTTTTTTTTTTTTTTTTTCATCGTTAAAAATTTACACTTGAAAAAGAATTAAGAACTTTACAAGCGTTGCCTTTTAAAATAATAACAACGATGATAATTAGATAGTTGAACATTATCCTTTAAAAGCAGAAATATATCAATATCTTACCGCTTCTTTATCGACAATAATAATTCCATTAGCTGCCCCAGTTGCTGCTATGAGATCAAGAACAAACATGGCTTTGATTGGATCTGTTCTACAATACCCCAAAGAAGTTTGTGAAGTGTTCGCAAACCACATTCCTAAAATTTACGAAATTTTAGAAATTATATTATAATTGATAAAAATTCAACATTAATAACGTTCCTACTTACTTCCACCGTGTTTCGATTTTGCGCAACTATTTCCATTTTGAGCAATACCGCATAATCCACAATTAACCGCAGCACAAAATTTCCATTCGGCATTTCCATAAAGTCGAGTCGCGTCACAAACAACTTGAGTTCCATGAAACATTCGATGAGTGACGTTATTTGCTGGCTGATTACCAGAAATTTGTTTCTTGTATGTTTCATGTGCTTGAATTAATCTCGCTGGCATAATCACTCTAAAAATTGCTAAAATACGCGCGTTTGGAAGTCCAACCTTGAAGAATTGTCTAAAAAAAAAAAAATGAATTTTTCATGTGAATAATTTTAGGTTAAACAAGAAAAGAATTACGCGTATAGTTTTTTTGACAAAGATACTTGCTGTGTAGCCATATAATCATGGTCGTCCAATGGCAGGTTAAATATTTTGGTTGCGGGTCCAGGTAAATTATCAAGATATTGTTGAAATTGCAATTGTTGTAGTGCAGCATTTGATCCCGGTAATTCGTTTCGGCACATTTCACATTGTGGCATCGAAGGATGATTCATGAATGTACAAGTTGGACATTGCGTCATATTAACATCATGTTTAAATAACGAAGGTAGGTTGAAAGTGGTTTTACGAGCAACCCCAGCGATAGGAGAATAACACATTTCACATTGGACACTATCAGAATCATTATAATAAGAACAGGCCGAGCATGCTTTTTTTGCCCGTGTTTCTAGTTGATTAAACCTCCCTCCCGCTGTTGCTCTATTTTTTTGTTCCGGCGGTGGTGACTTGATTAATTGTGAGTAACAAATTTCACAATGAGTCATGGAAGGATGATTATTAAAGTTACATGCTGAACATGTAATCTCATTATCGTTTGGAGGAGGTGTAGGCGGTTTTTGCGGATTTTGCACATTACGTCTTGAATATTCCCTCGTGTTTCTGTAATTATGTTGTATAGGCTCTGGAGGTGGTCTTGATCTACGATTTGATGTGGGCTCAATCCAAAGTTCGTCATTTGGAGGTGACGGACGTGGATTAGAGAAATCATAATCTGATCTGGTATTTTGTCGAGATGACGATGATGATGATGATGATACTCCAAAACCCGAATAATCATAATAATTTGATCTTTCATAGTTATTCGTTTTGTTAGAATTATTTGATCTATCATTCTTATTTGAAGAGGAAGAATGATTATTATTTCGCCTTGGTAAAGGAGGTATAGGATCCGCGAATGGATTTAAGGGTTCTTCATCCTCATCCTCTTCGTATAAATCACGAAAACTTGTAATTGTAGATTTTGATTTATAATGACTTTTCTTTGGTTCAAGCCTAGTTATGGTTGTACCACACATTTCACAAACGGTCTTATTTGGACGGATAAAAAAAGTACACGCGGGACATTGAATCTCTTCATCATCGGAAGGAGTGGTTGATCGAGGAGTAAGATTAGATGACGAATATCTTGAATGATTGTTATCACTTGAAGGAGGAACCCATAGTGGGTCAACCGAAGCTCCCAACCAAATTGGAAAATCATCAGTTGGATTAGGACGAGACACCGACAAAGGTGAAGGGGGGGCATCATCAGGTTCCCAAAGGGGTGTAACTTGAGTTCTATCATTAGTGGCAAAAATATCATCATCTTCGAAAGCATATGGAGGAGGTCTACTATTATCAGGAGTCCAAACTCCCCATTGATTTGAAGTATTGGCTTCAGGAGTATAAGTTGGTGGTTCCCAAGATTCTTCTTCATATTCTGAACCGGGAGCATAATTGTTCATTTGACAGGTTGTACTACAATAATTTAGTACAGTTCCATTCCTTTCCCTCTTAACTTGATTATTACAACCAGGTTTCGCACAAATGTTATCCTTTCTCGATTTAAATATCTTTAATGACTTTAACATTTATTATTCTTCAAACGTCACTTTTTTGAAAATGTTCGTTTCCCTAAATAAAAAGGTTCCCCAAACGATAACAATTGAAAAAAAAATATATATATACACCCTCTTATTAAAGTTAAAATAAAACGGAATCGATATACGCTGATACGATGATAGAAAAAGCTTGTAGAATGCAAAAAAAAAATAAAATAAAATAAAATAAAATAAATAAATAAGAAAAATAAATGTTAAAATCCTTTTCTCATTTAGATCGTACAATTTTAGTATGACAAAGAACATGAACACGAATATAGACATATTTGTAAACAAATAGGTTAAGCTTGGTGAAACGATAAAAATTATGGCTGAAATCATTTCGAAAATTTGCCAGGAGTTACCGAAAATTACAAATGAAATAATTAATTGAACTTATGTGGTCACTGTCGTGCTTTGCTCAAAATAAGAAGTTTCCAAATTGAGTGACAAAACCAGTTAGTTATACAACAAAAAGGAACGCCGATTGCATGTGCTATTATTTTACACTTTTTAAGGTGGACAAAACCCTACATACATATTTTCAAAATATTTATGATTGCCTTGCTGCGGTATCTGCGGTAACTACATAAAAAGAAATAAAGCGTTTGTGAATTTCTATACCCGAGGTCAAAATATTTGATGCATAATGTTTCAACTTAATTATTGTTAATGTATTATAACGCATGTATCAATGATTATTTTTGTAGGACCAACTAAATTAAAGAAATTTGAATATAAACAAGAATGAATTCCGTATTTTGCTTTTGAAAAAAAAATTTTTATTTATTTTTCTTTTTTTTATAAAAAAAAAATAAATCCTTTAAGATAAATATGGCACTATTTATAAGAAATTATCAATCAATAAACCCATTAAGGAAACCAAAGATCCTAACATTTACGGCGCTCCTTTTTTTCTTTACACTTTATATATTAAGTTTTGATTTTCAAATAAACAATCCATCAAACGTCCCACCATTAATAGATTTATATGCACCAGATGGCACATCATACTTGACCACGGAACCATCATCATATGGTTATAAAAATTACAGTGAATTTATCCCAGGAAGTCTACCATTAATAATTTCCATATCTCATGGAGGTCACTTGTTTCCTAGAGACATTCCTGATAGGAAGAAAACAACTCCAGGCATGGTAAAATCTAATGATATAAATACCCAAGAAATTGGTCATCAGCTATCAAAAATAATCACGAAAAGATTTAACGGAAGAAAACCTTACATGGTAATTAATCATTTGGGAAGGAGTAAAATTGACGTTAATCGTCCCTTGAAAGAAGGAATTGAAATTGAAACTAGTAATGAAACACAAATTGTTTGGAATGATTATCACACTTTTATGAAAAACGCCGTGGACGAAGTTGAATTACGCTTTGAACGTGGGTTGTTAATTGACATTCACGGTAAGTGACAGTTAACCAATATTTCTCATTTCACGACAAGTGAACTCAAATGAAACATTATACATAGGTCACGGACATACAGAAAATTACATTGAATTGGGATATGCATTATCGCTAGAGACCTTATCGATTCCCACCGATACACTAAATACCAACGAGGAAATTGTTTTTGGATCGAGCATAAGAGCATTATGCGCTCGTAAACAAAACGAGCTAAGTTTCTCGGAAATATTAAGAGGAGAATCTACTTCACTTGGCGGAAAATTGCAAAAACTTGGATATGACACGATCCCTTCTCATGTGCATAAATATCCATTACCAACTGAAAGGTATTTCCATGGGGGTTATTCCGTACAAAGATATGGTTCAAGGAACAATGAACATGTTGTCGATGCGATACAATTAGAGTAAGTATTCATCGATAATTTTCACAGTGACCTTTGCAAATTTTAATCATTAATTCTATCTTTTAGATTACCAAGATTGTTGAGACTTGGAAATAGTAGATTACGAGAGACATTCGTTAAAGATTTGGCTAAAGCTCTCGGTTGGTTTATCCAGACATATTATTTTGCGGAATAGTCTATAAAAGTGTTAATTATTATAATTTTAATAAGTTTAGAATTTTTTTTTTTTAAAAAAAAAAAAGGACAATGATAAATGTAATTTTTAATACGTTGTATTTATTTATCAATCATTAAAAATGCGAAAGAGATCCTTTATTTAATAATTTCGTAATATAAAAAATATATATCATCAATTTTTTTTTTAATAGTAATTACAAGGACAATCATTTTTAATCAAAGCGCGACGATCTCCTTCTTTGCCATCAACTCTTTATATCGATTAAATAAAATAGCAGGAAATAAGATCTCAGTTTTTTTTGTAAAAATTACCGCTAATTTCAGCTAAAAATGTAATGTTGAAAAATAAATATTTATAAATAATGCAAATGCTTTGTTAGGAATATTATTTAATGCGACAATTATTAAATATATATTTTAATTATTACAGTACTACTAATATGACCAATAAACAGTAAATCTTCACCAGGAACTCAAATCAATTTCCAGGGTGTATTGTTTCACATTTTTAAACATAATAGATATCAGAAAAGATTAATGCGTCAGAGACGAACCCAAAGTTGGCCAGAATACCCGACATCTTTATCTTTAAAAGAATTTCCAGCTGCATATGTTGTGGTTAACGGAACCCAAACCGATAACCTGTGATCATGAGGAAGAAAAACAATCGCCGGGTTATGAAACGAACTTAAAGTATTATCCATTACCTACTTGACTATAATAAAGAACTTTCGAGAAGTTCATGCAAGATATAGAAAAGGAATATATAATAGTTGCGATGTGAAGTTGAGGATCTAAAGTTGCAGGTGCGGGAGGCGGAAAAAAAGTTATCTATAAAATTAGATTCTATTCGTTAGCTTAGGTACTTTTTTCCCTCGCTTCTGCCTTGCCTCTATCTCTTTCTGTAGGTTCAACGGTGTGTCAACCCTTAGTTGAATCGCAAGAGAATCATCCTTCGGCCTACTGAGATCAAATACAATGAACTACCTTTACAAAGGTAGCTATTAATCTTGGGGAGAAAAATATTTTTAATTCTGTAATTCCGGTTAAAAGTCACGAGTGGAAATTTTTGAGACGAGCACGTGACTTTTAATGAAGTGGCTTAGTATAATAGATCGCGATTCACAAACAATCGCGTGACGTAAATTTTGGGTACATAAAATATACCGTGAACGTGCTTGTTGATGGCACAGTACTTCGAAACAACTCCTGTAAGCGTTTGGTCTTATATTGGATACTTAGAGGCAATGAAGTCATACTTCTATGCTTATGCAACAATATTTTCATTAAAATCTATGTTGCGAAAACACTTCTTGGCTAATGTAAGAGTACTTGAAACTTGTCACAATCTAGAGAACAGAAAAGTTACTATCTCCCATATAAATGAAGTCTGTAAGCATTTCTGTTTTGCTGACTGATACAAACAGCAAAATCTATAAGCTCATGAAAGGTGATGTCCTTTATCAGGTTGTTAGATAATGCCCTCTTATAGCATTTTGCGAGCTTGCCTATATATTTGTATTACTGAGAGGAAGGTGATACCCTTAACCTCTTGGAGTTCAGTCAACTCTTGTTATAACGAACTCTATGTTCTAGACCTCAACTTCGCTATAAGGCTATAGTGAAGATTTTAAGAGATTTGATTGGCCAATTCGCTATAACAAGAGTATTTTTATTATATTTGTTCAAAAAATTCGTTATATCAAGAGTTTGCTATATCAAGAGTTGACTGTATGTAGCAAGCTCTTAACATATATTATATAGGAATTGCTCTATATATTTGAATATATATAATTGCTTTTTCTATAGAAAAACAATAAATGAGAAATATCAGAATATTAGAGTCAAAACAAACAAGAAAGAGAATTAAAGGTAAAATAAGTATGAAAATATGGGTTTAAATATTTTAATAGAATTATTATACTAGTAGTTATTAATATAAACAGTTTTACTGAATAGTTAACTGTGAAAAATCAACATAATTTTCTATGTTGAATATGCTAAATATTGCAATTAATAATAAATTAAACTAAATTATTAAGTTATTTAAAGAATAATTCAATACTCACCTTTTCTCTAATAACAATTTTATGGAAATGGTAAAGGTTAATACTGGTGAAAATTATCTTAGTATTGAATATTGGGAAAAATCAGAATCATCTTTTAATACTAATTATATTTTTTTTGAAAATAAATTAAAAGGTTTTTAATAAGTATGCTTAAAGATTAGATAATTTTTTATTATAAGATACATTATTAATAAATATAACCTTTGATCTAGAGAGTAAAGAAAAGAAATATGCAGAAATTGATGAATTTTTAAGGATAAGAGAAATTATGAAATTTATAATAGTGATATCAATAATATTAATTTTGTAAAATGTATAAAAAAAACTAATACTAATAACTCAATTATAGGTCTTTCGTAGTAATACTAATATTAGAGATAAATTGGCAAAATATGTTGATATAATCTTTGAGATTCAAAAATGTTTAAAATAAGTTTATTATCAAATATCATAAATGTTAATTATGACTATATTAATCAGAGATTTTTTTCTTATAATCTCATATATTAAAACATTTTTAACCTGACTGAGGATTTCTTAATTAAATATTTTTTTTTAACAAAAGATTAGAAAAAATTAATGAAAAGCTTTGAAAAGAATATGAATTAATTAAATCAAATATACCAAATATGATTATATATTTTTTTAATAAAGTAGAAAAGGTTTTAAGTAATTTTTTATATTATAATGCTTTAAAAATGTTACTGACTAATATACTTTTATATAACAAAAAATGAGGATAAGAATATTATCAATAAATTAATAAATGAATTTCAGAATAATAGAATATAATCAAAACGTCAAGTTCATAAATGAGGACAAGGAAATTATTATTATTATTAGACATACTATTATTACATAATAAGTTAATTAGTATAGGATTATTTATTATTTTATTTTGTTTATTCATTTCTTTCATTATTATCATAGTGTAAAAAATTTGAAAAGACTTGAATTTCCTATTTTAGAGTCAGATTTTGATAACATTTTCCTGAATATATTAATAAAATTATTCTTGAATAAATAAAATTCTCAAGATAAATAAGTAGGTATAAACAATATTATGACAGCCTAATTTTTATGTAATTAATATTTTTTTTTCCAATTTTATAGTGGAGAAATTATATGTTAAACTTCTTTCAACATAAAAATAAAAGGCATTCAATAGTCTTCTATGCACATATTAACTAAAAGTGTAATTTCAGAGATATATTAAAGAATAGTATAAATATTTCAGAGCTATTATTAAACTTAGAAATAGTTATCTATAACAAGAAAGTTATTGAGAATCAGATTAACTTTCTATATATATGATGTCTTATATAATTTTTTTAAAATAAATTCTAATATATCTAGAGATAATTTTCATAGTATATATATTTTTAGTATTTAATTATAAGATATATAGCAATTAAATTTTAACTATTTAAATGATTAATATGCTTTTTACTCTCATACTAAGAATAGGTCCATAAAACTTATAATATAAACTGCAAAACTATGAATATATTGCATTTTAAAAGACTTTTTCAGATTAAGATATCTAATATTATAAAAATACTCACAATTATTGAGGAGTTTTATGATTTATATCAAACGTTAAGATATTAATTATATGTTTATTATCTATTATAGTTAAAATATACAATATTTTATTTTTATATTTATCTTATTTTAATATATATTGATATTAATTTATGATTATATAAACAATGTTTCACTTTCTAATTCAAAAGTATATAAGAATTGAAAAAGGAAAAATAAGTATTATAATCAAGGTGGATTCATTTAGTACTACTTTGACAAGTCTGATAAATAAGAAAAACAAAAACATAAAAAATTAAGATATTAAAATAATAAGCTAAATATCTTGTAATTTTTAATTATATAATTTTAAAGTTATTATTATTATTGTAATAAATTACAAATAAAATATGAGTTTTATAATATATTGTATAGCTAAATTCTTATAAAAAAAATATTAGTAACTAGATATATAAAGTATTTATACTTAAAAATATGTCTTGATTCTTACTAGACATAAGGATTTACTGTATCTAATAAGATAGAACATATTTAATACTTTTGTTTTGCAGAAAATATAATATATACTTATATGTTTATATATAATAAAAAATCTGCTATTAAATCATACAAATGATGATCATAAACATTTAAAATTTTAAGTTTACTCAATAAGATCTAATCACTACATATAGGTCTTCATAATAATAAACATATTTTAATACAATTCAGTATTTTTCACATAATTTTATTTTGAGTTTTTTATGCTTGCTATTTGATAATATTTTTTGTATTGTATGTCTTATATTTTAATTGTAAAGCTATATTATAAATAAAATATATCAAGTTCCAGTCTATTTGATATATTTGTATTTTTAAAAAATTGGGATTGCAGATTGGTAAAGAAATATTAGATACTTAGTTAAATCTTATGATACAGCTTTTCTCTCTTATATTTTGAGTAGAATGGATACCAAGTTCCTTATTAAATACTATTTGAAATAACTTACTATTAATATTTATTCACAAATCTATTCTAGTTTAATATATAAGTTATAGAATTAATTTGAAAGGCAATCTCCATTTTTTACTTATATGAGTTTATATATATTCTCAATTATTTGATAATGATCAATATAAAATAAATATTATTACTCTCTATTTTTAATATAATAAAGTTAGAAGTCTGTAATAGATTAAATCCTATATAAGAATCTAGCCTAAACTTAATTTCTAAGCCAGATACAGGTTGGCAAATATAAGTTTAGAATTTTTTAGATTAGATCTAAGTTCAAGATACTAGTATTACATGAAAGAAGACATGGATAATGATGATCTAAAGGATGACGTCGATCCCTAAGAAATCATATATATCTTCTATGTCATATATGTCATCTATAGCATA